CCATTTTGCTTTTTACAAGTAGCTCAAACTTTTTCATGTATATTCACTGCAGTCTTAAGAGACTCAAATTCCTTAGGCTGTTCAATTGTATTACAACATAGGCAGTGTAGCAGGTATTTTGGGTGCCTGGAAACTCTCTGGTTAGAAATTGCTGCGCTAATGGCATTAAGGCAATGCCAGTCTTACTAGATATGACCTTTAGTTTTTTTATGAAATGTAATTGCAAGGCAATGAGCTAGAAAAGCTATGTCTGCCATATACTTCAAGATGCAATTTTACATGTCCGAAGGATTTGCACTGTCCACAAAACTGAAAAATGTCCAACGCATTTACTGCAATGTCAAGTGAGGACACCACTTTGACTTAGCTACAACACCGGAGTTTTGAAATATGCTTGGGTATTTTGAATTTGAATAATATTCTCCTTGCTGAGAGGTTTTAGCTTCAGCCATAGCTGCTAAAACATGTCTGCATGAAACTTGAAGTTGTGTCACTACACAGAGAGAATTAAAAGATTCATTTAGCCAGAGAGAACAAAACAGGGAAGAGAAATCTTGTTTGTACTATTCAAAGAGTTAAACTTGTACTGCTATAGTTAACATGCATATAGGTATAACATATACACATATATATTATGCATGCTAAATACAAATATGCATATTTTGGTATATAAATATACAGATGCCCATATATAATATCTGAAAGTGTTTAACATTTACCCATATATATCTGTATTAAATATATATATTTGAAAGATGCAGCAAAAACTCTAATGTCAGCCAGAAAAAAGGCTGGTTAAGCTAGAAAAAGTGCTTGTTTTATGAAAAAGTAAAATTGCAATTCACAGCATTTTATGTAATGCTGTACAAATTACCAGATACCAGAGACTGCATTTCTGGACCTGAATAGTACTAAAAGTTGCAACTAAGGGCAAATATAAAGACACTTGTTTACAATGCAAAGGCTTAGTCAGTACTATAAGCAATATGGCAATCTGCATAGCAGAAGATATAATGCTTTGTAATGTGATTTTTACTTTACGTATCAATTCCTACACACATGAACAAACTCAACAACAGCCCCATTAATTTCAATCATTATAAAAAGGAGAAAATAAAGGAAATAAACTGATGAATTAAACGGGGACTAATGCATAACTGACATATTTACACAATCATATGTTTACCTTATTTACTGGGTGGTAGCCCTATTTTATAAAGACGTCACTAAAGCATTTAAAAGTGTACTAGAGATGTGCTGGCAATCCTATTACTGAAGTTGCTGATGACACTTCCACTCTTTTCATTATGATTTTGTCAGGTAACATAGTCTGAAATTACACATGCTAGGTGTGTGAGTGACTTCTCTGTGTGTGTGTGACAAACTCCAATCAGAACTGCTCAGCTTTGTCAAGAATGCACCCAGAGGAAAGCACAGTACGCCCCCCAAAGGGTTGTGTGCCCTTCCTTAAGATGCAATGGAAGAGGGACTTGAACTCTGGAAGGGACAATGACAGATTGTGTCAAAGATTAATATCTTGTCTTCCCATGAAATGACACTCAAATTTATAAACGTGTATCATCTAAGAAAGCAGCTGAGACTATTCCTCCACGTGGGCTTTCCCAGTACTGGTTGCTCTTTATGATGAAAACCAGGTAGTCTGTCCCTCATGTTCATCTCCAGTTTCCGTCACTATGAGTGTATGAAGGAGAAGTGAGGATGCAGAAGACAAGAGAAAGACTAGGAAAAAGACTGGCTGAAGTAAAGGTTTGCTGTTGGGGAGAAGAGGAGGGGAGAGGAAAGGAGAGGAGAGGAGAGGAGAGGAGAGGAGAGGAGAGGAGAGGAGAGAAGAGAAGAGAAGAGAAGAGAAGAGAAGAGAAGAGAAGAGAAGAGAAGAGAAGAGAAGAGAAGGGAAGGGTGCAAAGGGCTGAGTATCATGGAGAAGCCCACCATCTCCACCTGACAGTCCACTCCCACCCCAGAGCTTGGGATGGAAACCAGCGTTCCTGAATTTCATTATTCTCCTGTCAGGCAGAGGCTAAGAAATCTCCTGGCAAAAGGAGATTCCTCTGCAATCTTCTATTCTGACTATTCCAGCATCTCAAATGGCCAGGATGGTTACAGTGAATTCAACTCCAAGGCTGGTCCACTCAGGTATAACATGGCATATGTCCATTCCTTTGCTTTTCAGAAAAATGAAGACTTGCAAATACATGCAGAAAAACATACACAAACACTCACATACAAGCCCTACACTCACTAGTTGTTTAAAACTAGCTATACTTAATTTAAAAAGTGAAGAATCAGTGTTCAAAAGTTAGGAAACTGGTAGAGCAGCTGCTTTGGGAGGTGTGAGGCACCTGCTGAGCTGGAGACAGGGGACCTGGGCAGCACCCTTGCCTGCTTGTGCCTGCCTCTTCCCACAGGCAGAGTCCTCTGGGAGGGGAGAAGGAAGAAAGTTTGATAATTGGGTAACTTGTATCATTTGGATAGCAAGAGGATGTCCTGATGTGATGTGAAGCACAACTGAACATCTCATAGCTGCCAGCCAGTTGACACTGAAGTCATTGGAGCTCTGCTATGAACATGACAGGTATAATATTAGTCAAATACTCTGAAAAATGAAGTTCTAGATGTCCCAAGCAGGACATCCAAAATTACTGAAACCCTGATTTCACAATGATTTAGCTGTGTTTGAAAATATGGACAATACAAACTTCCCCCTCCAGAGTATTACTGATAATTTCTTTACACTAAAACACTGTAGGGATGAGCAGCACAGAAAATCCTATAAAGAAGCAAGGTCAAACAACATGCAGTAAATACAACACAGGAGCTCCCAGGGTGAACACCTGATTATAAGCATGTGAAATCAGAGTCACACAGAGTGCAGCATAAAGTTTAAAACACCATGTGAGCAAATAATTATTATTCTATTAAAGCATTTTTGGAGAAGATATGTTACTTTTGACGTCTCTTAACTTTTGAGAATGAGGTCTTGGAATCTTAATAAAATTTTCTAAAAGTAGCTTTTATGGATGATAATATAACACATGGACATAAAAGACCAGATGGACTCCAAACAATCTTAATAATGTATTATATATATTTCTTCATGTGTACATGCTTGTCTAAAGAACTACAACTCTTTTGGTGCCACATAAATATTTAATAATGATAATTTAGAATATACTGCTATAATATTACATCTGGGTATTTTACATCCTTATTCCAAAATGGACTTGCTTTAGTTACATGCCAGCTCTGTTGGATTCATTGAGCGTGTTCATGAGAGTAAGCAATTAGTACTCGGCTTGATTATGTTTCTATTTTGAAACTTTCCACACTAGAGGAAAGCATTACAGTATGGGCAGAATTTAAATAATTGCTTAAAAGTTAAGAAAATGCTCCAGTGCTTTTCTGGCTAACAACAAATTTAAATATATGCACAAATGGCTTCATGCACTGAACTGATCAACAATCTTTTAATTTTTTTTTCTAAAAACAAATCTCAGAAAATGCCATAATATAATTTTTTATCTTCCCTCCCCCCAAAAAAACCAAAATAAAAATCTCAGGTTTTTTATATGTGCCATTTCAAAACTGAGCTATATAGAATGTTATGTAAACAGTTGACAATGTGCTGAATAATGACATATGAGTTATTTTCACAAGTGAAAAGTTGGCTTCATGCATTCCTTCAAAACCTCTTGGAATATTTTGAGCTTTTTAGACCTATCTTTTGCCAATAAGCAGGCTATTTCAAAAAAAAATGTTTGTTTGTGTCCTTGTGGTACTCTTTCTGAAGGCAATAAGTGTTTCTAGAACCAAACAGCCCTAAAACAGAAATTAAAGGTACCCTGTAAATCACTTTAACTAAATGCATTAGTATTTATGATGGTAGATATAAAATTAAAATGCATAAGACACAATCCCCCAAAATGAATGAGGTAACACCCCTACTTCAGACTTTTAAATTCAGAACAAACACTGACCATATACTAAGATAATGTAGAAAGATGCATGAAAGGTCCTTGGATGGCTAATCATATAGTCTTCCCCTGAAAATGTGTACAAATTAATATAATATACAGAGAAGTATAGTGCAGGACCAACCACCCCAAAAACATTTAACACGAACAAAAAGTTCTACCCATGTCACATATGTCAGTCCTTCATACTTCCATCTTTACCTCTAAAATTAATTTTATCTATGTAAGAACAAGATATATCTAAATTTGTTTTGACAGACCCAAACCAAGTGATTCTAACTGGTATGATTCTGAAGTTGTTCAATTGTTTTTTCACATTGACACAGTGCAGTAATTTCACATTCTTCTGCATTTTTTAAAGTCTACTACAAATTTTAAAGAGTCTATTACAAAATTATGGGCACTAAGAATGTTTGTATAAACCAATTTAGAAAACTGCTACTAGCTGTGTGCTGGGGATACACTGGTGTGTTCCAGTATAGAGCCTTACAGTGACCTATGCTGTGCTCACACAAATTGCTTGCTGGGTGTAAAATGGAAATTCACATTTTCTTATGAAAATTTGCTATGTGAGCTGAGCTTGACGTTTTCTGTATTGTGATTGCAAGGTAAAAAAACAGTACTTAAAAAAACCCAAGCAAAATCAAAACCAGGCATTTTGTGTATTATATGTCTTTTTTTTCCCTTAGAGGTAGAACAGTGACTGCCTGGCATGGCATGTTTGTTATATTGAGGTCTTCTTACTGGTATCTTCTTCCTCTGTTGAACTGTGATGATACTCCCAGCCTGGAGAAGTGCTGTCTCTCTGACGAGAAGGGAAAGGATATCTTTTCATGGAGAGATAACTGTGTTTATTGAGCATTTGCAGCTTAAACCTAAGTTTAAGGTGATAGCAAACAGGGCTATTTGCACTAAATACTATGGTGCCTAGCACCATATTAATGCTGAAAATGGTTTGCAATATGTCACTATATATATGTGTGTGTATGTATATACATTATGTGTTACCTTGGATACAAGGCTTGCTCTGTAGGCAGCTAACTGCTTCAGATATTCCTTCTTGGCAGCTTCAGTTTTCTTTTTGTATACCTAAAAACAAAGAGTGTCACATTGGTAAATTAATCTGGCTTTGTTTTTATATATCACCGGTGTGTCTCATGCATCTTCATAAAGTCTTTCTAAGTAAACAGCCTTTCCTCCTCATATTGCTTAAAGAGTGAAATAATAAACATCAAGTATTTTAAAGAAAATATTGTTCCAACTGTGAAACACTCTTTAACTACCCAGCAGTAATGACAAAACAATATCCCTCATAGCATCTCAGGTTTAATTGTTCAAAGTGAAGCGTGGGGCGTCCTTGCAAATGGGACCTCTAGAGATGGGGGAAGGCAGGCATGGGCCTCTCCACCGGCTTCCACTTGTGAGAGGAGTTAAAACCCTCTGGGGAAGATGAGAATATGCAGAAAGACATCTGAGCTAAATGAAGGAGAAGATGACGGCACCACACAGATCAGCCAAGAGTCTTTCTCTCTTTGCCAGATAAACTGTTGGGGGCAGTCAAAGAAGCTTCATGGAGCAGCTAAGGATAATAAATGTTAGTCATTATTCCCATCTTGATCCTGTATCGGTCTAATTAACTTCTCAGGAGCATGGATCTATTTCTGTACATTTCTCTCAACTCACCAAATTATTTGAAATGCGGCATGTGCACAATCTCATAATACATTAAAGAGCTTGGAGAATCACTTCAATTCTGCCCAGATTTCAAGATCAAAGATTATCCGCAGAGTTAGGCAGGACCTCATAGCATTACAGTAACATGATGTTAGAAAAGCATAGGTAGATATTTAGGGTTGAAAGTTCTCAGGAGGAGAATCAGTTTCTGACCCATGAAGCCTAGGTAATGACTTGCTATTAGCCACATCAGTGACAGATTCAGGAACAAGTCAGCATTTCTCTTTGCAAATGTTATCATGAGTTTCTCACTACTTCATGTTTTTTTTCTGAAAGGGTAGATTTAGGAGTCATGCTGGTGTCTTGGCTTCATGTAACTAAGCAGGATTGACTCCTAGCCTTCCTTGTTGCAGGGAAAACCTGAAAAAACATCTGAACTGAAGGTTTAAAAAAAAGGGAGACAAATAAAGGGAAATAAAATTGACTTTTTTATTGCTGTTATATTTCTCAATTTTTAAGTCACATTCCAGAGGTTAATTCATGTGTTTGTGGGCATTTGGGATTCACAATATTGCACAAAATGGAACTGCAGCTTTGAGTCTCTGCTGCCCACTTCTCCAGCCAAGCGCACAACTCTGGCACCTGCGGAAAGCCTCCATGAAGAGAGTAAAGACTATCCACCTTCCCCCTCCCACTCCACACTGCCTAATTAACCGGGGTATTGATTCAAAGATAAAGGATGGGCAAAACTATTTATGACAATTTTGGGGTGTTCTGAATTCCACAGCTGAAAAAAACACGCGTGCATCTCCTCTCCAGAAGGATAAACTTTATGAATCTTTGAACTGATCTCTTTTGATCTTCTAATGCTCTAGTAAAACCAGCAGTCCTGTAATGGAGAGGACTTGGCAGCACAGAGTGCCCTCACAGAGAACAATACAGTTGCAGACATGAGAGTAGTAGTGTCAGGCTGGAAGGATCCACTACAACACCATTTTTATAAAGAATGTGCTTGTGAAACATTTTTTTGTTTCACTGAGGCTTTGCTTTCTGAGACAGAACAAACCTCAGATACAGGCTGGCAAAACTCAGAGGCTGCCTAAAAGGATTAAAGATTTTGCTTCCCAGGGAAGCAAAAGATCATAATGGAAACAGAGAAGTCTTAGGCTTCTAAAATTGTAAATATAAAGACACAGAGGAAAAAAGATAGGTTTTAGCTGTGCAACTGTATCTGTGCACCTTTGTAATTTCTCCAGATTAAGATAAATATATAGTGTTGGCTGATCTCCTATTGTTTTGCAAAAAAAATGGTAGCAATTTGCTTTTGAAGTTGTAATCGCTTGTGATTATTAGGGAAATGTACTGTTTGTTTTGAAAATGAATAAAAAATTAGTCAACAAGCTGTTCCTAGCTGCTGAAATGAATTTAGCTTGACCTACAGAACAAAGACTAAGTTATTCCGCTTTGTATTTTGCAATGCCTCTGCATCATTCTGATAGCCGGTTTAAAAACCAGAGCTGAACAAAGAATTTTACACAGAATAATGATCTTCAAAAGATCATGTATCTACTGCCTCCACATTGGGTTTTATTTTGCATTACACAAATATAAAAAATACACACTCCTGCTGTGCTCTTACAGTCACAGCATATTGAAAGAGTCCTCTGGGACCTGACTTTTCCCTCAAACAGTCATATTGCACAAGGTTAACTCAATAATATGAAGCTAACAACAGTTCTGTAAATCTCCATCTGAAACATCACTACTTCATAGAAATGTCATCATACAGCCATTATTTAATTATTTCCTACCTATACATCTACCATGTTCAGTGTACCCATTGTCTTGCCCTCTTTTCTCTGGTCTTCTGGTGAGCCAATAATAGTCACATGTCTTCCATGGTAATATAAACATTAACCATGTAACAGAAGGTCATCAGAGTAAAAAAGTCTTTACTGGATGGGAAAAGGTTTTTGATGACCCCAGCCTGCTTGGATGTTTTGCATTGGCCAGAACAGTCCTCACAGGCTGGCTTGTCTGGAGGGTGGTCAGCTCACCTCTCTTCATCTTTGTAAGGGCACTGGCATGTCCTCTGAGGACAACAGCTTGAGCTCTCACTGTCTATACGCTGTTGTCCTTTCAAAGATGCCCGCTCTTTAGGTCAGCATAAAAGTAGGTTGATGATGCTCATGCTAGTTTTGGAAATTCTGATTGGTCCTGGCTTATACTAAAATTTAGGGTAAGTTCTGCCTTCCTGGGGAGTTGTTCATTTTCATGACTAACAACAAGGTGTGGCGGTCAATATTTTTCTATGAAGGCAAATTATATGGCCCTGGCAGTGGGTACCAGTTCACTGACTTTGTGCTAGACTGGACTTGTACTGGGGGCTTATGAAGGCAGGGCAAGTGGGAAGCGTCTTCAGCAATTTGTAGCAGCACCTCAAACAGGTATGAGCAAGTCAGTTGCCCCTCCCAACCTCTTTTTTTTTTGCAGCTGTGAGAATTTTTAGCCCTCAGGCTTAAATAGTTTTGCACTGCAGTCAGTATACAGAGTTGCATCCCTGCAGTGTTTCTGGGAAGGAAAAAGGCTTGTGTTGTCATTCAAGTGTGCTCTAGAAAATGGCTGAAGCTCTTCTGAGTTTCATGCTTAATACAGTGCCAAATTATGAAACACATAATTTCCAATAACACATTTAACATTTTTCCTGTAACAAGAAGCAGGCTTCTGTTCTGTTGCTTGTGTATAGTGGCAATATTTAATTTTAACATCTCAGAAATCTCTTATAAGGTCATTTTCCCCTCCTCCGTCAAGCAAGCAACAATTATTAAATAAGTAACTTGACAGGAGCACATACTTATGGAATTAAGTCATTTCTAGCTCACTTTAATTCAATTAACATGATAATTGAATGTCAACTGATTGTCATTCAGGCAGTAAAGGCCCATTCTGATTCAGCAGCAGATTTGTTTCCTTACACAATATTTTATTTTCTATATTGTCCCAGTTGTGGAAATTGAATGCTGGCAGAAAAAACATTATTTCTGTATATGCAGGATAGGTCAGCTTAATTTATTCTTATTCTCTTCAGCTTGTTATAGAAACCCCAAAACACCAAGATTACATTCATTTGTCTACAAATGGAACCTGCTGGCATTATTTTCCTACTGTGCTTCACGAATGCAAATTTACACAGCATAATACACAGGTTCTTAGTTTACTATTTAATTACATTTCCAAAGTGCACCCAGTAAGGTAGCTTCAGGTTCCCTTACACTGTTTAGCAAAGCATGCAGCAATGTAGAAGATACTTTCCAAAAGGACTAAGCATGAAACTCTACCTTGTGCATGTAAGTATATAATATAGCATTTGGATTAGGTCACTGGGGAAAACGAATGCCCTGGGCTCCCCCATTGTTAACGTAACAGCCTGGTACCAGCCCAGGGTACACTGGGACCCTTTAGCTCAGGTTCCCTGGGCTGACCATAAATGTGGGCTACCGGTGCTGTAGCAGCCTACATTAAGGGCTGAACTCTATTTATTAATAGTGATACACAATTCGTAAGCTGAGTGCCCTGAAGTTTCATTTGGAGATAGAGGGGTTGTGGGTTATATGGTTAGCCACAAGCACTCACAAATACTAGATTTACCAAATTAAAACCACAGCAGAACATCTGCACTTCTGTTTTATGATGCCGATTTCTGGTCATGTTTTGCTTTATATATTTTAACTGCTGCTTAGGTCTTGTACTCCTGGATCATAAATTCCTTGAGGCAGGCTTTGTGTCTCCTTGTGGTCTTCTACATGTTGGATAATATGAAACTCATCACTGATATATATATAACTGAAATACACCTGTAATGCCTTGAGCCAAGTTTTTGTTCTGGTTACTCATCTTTTCCCAATGAACTTCTTCTCAACTTGCTTGTGGAGAATTATCAACACATCACAACACACTATGCAGCAGGACTCCTGCCCTGTCCCATGTGGCTTGCACCATTGTTCGCTTAGGGGAACAGATCTCCCTTCCCCCAGTCATCATCACAAGAGCCAAAACAGGCATGCAAATATCTGCAAACGTCCTCAGTTTTGAGTATCAGGTGCTAATGGAAGAAGACACCACTGAACTACAGTCCCCTTTGATACTAGAGACTTGTAGACAGTGAATTAAACTGACTGATGCTCTTAGGAGAAAAAGACACTTTCAGAATTTGTGCCTCATGGTAGTCTGAAAAGGCTTTGTGTCTCCTAGCTGACAAAGCACATTACAAAGAACCATGCTACTTCCCTGGCTTTGCCTAAATAGCTGGTACGAGGATGACAAAGAAGGAGAAGTTTTCAGTTTGTCTTGTGGACGTCTCCTTAGAGCTGACACTTGCAAACAAGTTATATTTGTCTTTTTAAAATGATGTAAAG